TCAACAATATATTTGAAATGAAATTCACTTTGAAATAGAATAAATACCTTCTCTCTAGCTAGTGTACCCAAGTAGCTATTAAATTGGGTACTAAAGGGACCTGACACCTTGCCAGTCCTAGGATCAACAGACACAGATAACTTCTGGCCAGATATGTGTCTAACGATCAAGCCTTTCAACCGTGTAGATTGTCGACTCCTCTTACTGGAAAATATCTTTCCATATGCCTGAAGAGATGGTGGTGGAGATGGTGGAGATGGTGGAGATGGTGGAGGAGATGGTGGAGGACATGCCATTTACCTGTAATGAAAAAAACATAGAATTATATCAATACACATGCAAAGTCTCCTCAATTACATGTTAAAAAAATAAATAAATAGAAACATAACTTAGATTGTATTAATATTTTCCCATATGCCTTCATCATGGTCATTGCGAGTAGCATGAACAAAGTCTTCTTCCAATTGGGATATAGCAATAGGCAACCGTGGTAAATTTTGAATGTTAATAAAACCATCTAATTCTTCTCCATTCTCATCTAATTTTGAATGTTAATAAAATCATCTAACCCGAGTTAGGGTGTTAAGCAATTGATACATTCATTCCATTCCTGGCAATTAACTTAACAAATATTCTTACCGTGATCTAGGATTCAAGATATATTTTTCAATCATACCTCAAACAATCAAGAATAAATCATTCCAAAGCATAAAAGATAAGAATAACAACATCAAAACATAGATTAAGATATCAAAATATCACCATGATACAAAAGAGTTCAAAGGAAGTGCATCGAATCCTAAGAGAATGAAGTTAGCCACTCATGTTGGCCATTACAATGCTCCAATTGATGAAGAAGTGAAGAATTGATGAAGATTAGACAAAACCCTAACAGTAGTCGTGTCTCCTCTCCTCCAAGACTGCTTGCTTTTTCTCAAAACACAACTTATCTTTTTATAAGAGAATTTGGGTTGGGCTTTGCATCATTCATTCGCTTAAGCGCTCTTCTTTCTTTCAATTTTACTCCAATTATGCTGACAATTATGCTTCTTACTCTTGTATCAAGGTATTCTCAAATTCATCCTATATTAGGAGAAAAATATATTAGAATTAACATAAGTTAAGTGGTTTTATAACAATTCAAGGCATAATTATATCAACTTTTTACCACTTAACACCCCTTTCTAATCCTCTCCCTCTCCCATATTTTTCATTAGTCACAGTTTGTAGAACTTATTCTTCCTCTAAAGACAACAGCATCCTTTGTTCGTGAACCAGTAAACTACTTTGTAGTTCATCTATGATCATGGCTTCCATGTTGTTAGATTCTTCAATTGAGCATACTACATAAATAAATGTTGTTGGCATGGACCGCAAAATCTTTGTTGTTATGACATTTTCTTACATATTTTCACCACAAGCCTTCATACTTTTAGCTATCTTTAAAGTCCGAGCGAAATATGAATTCATAGATTCTCCTTCATTTATTTGCAATTATTCAAAGTCTTTATGCAATGTTTGCAATTAGACACGTTCAACTCTAGTTAATGCCTGAAATTTCTACTTCATTGAGTCCTAAATGTTTTTCGACGTATCATCATTCAAGATAATATCCAAAATTTCTCTATCAATAGTTTGATAGAGATATTTTTTTATTTTGAGAACCTTCAACTCTTGCTCCTCCATTAATTTGATGCATTGCTCCACCAAGTGTCAAAACTCCTTTGATCGAAGAAAGTTTTCCATCAATTTTGCCCAATGATCATAGTGTCCATCAAATTTGGGTATTGTCGATTGCACATACTTGCTGGTATCTATCATGACGGTAGAATAATTCTCAATGTTCACGTTTGCACTCTATAAGTGTTTATCTCTTTCACACCCTAATGTATACTCCTTGCGGCAGATGTTCTCTCATGCTCACCCAATCTCCGAATGAGTTTTTCTGGTTCAGATCATTGTAAAGAAGCTCTAATATCAAATTGTGAACAAAACAAGTAAGTTTTTCTGTGAAAAATACTCACTTGTAATTTGTTATTTATTGCATATCATGATACATTATTATAGTCGAGCAAAGTTAATGGCGAGAACAAAAAACTAAACCCGCTACACATGTGCATGGGTGTCAAAACGGCTACAACTAAGTAGCTCAAATTTAACTACTCTTCTTTAAAGACCTGTGTTATTTATTAAAAAGAACTGCTAATTAAACAAAACAGAAACAATAAATATTTATCAATATTTGAACATAATAAATACAAATCAAATATTTTTTTAATAAGATTATTAGATGCAAAACATGATATATGATTCAAAGCTAATCCACCCGCTAATTTCTAAACTTTAAAAGTGAAAATGTTGCTTGAATATAGGTGCATGAGGTGCAGTGATACAAATATGTAGTGTAGAGCTGGTATGGAGATGTGAAAAATTGATCTAAGGATATTTTTTTGACACTTTATATATATTATGGGGATAAAAAAAATTAATGGGGTGTAGGACAGTCCTAAAATATTAATCTAATATTTAATTTATTTTCTTGCACAATTATATATTATTATTTTTATGTTTAAAATTAATTAATATAGGGGATCTTGAATCAAAATAAATTATCAAAGTTCTTTATTTTTATTATTTAAAAAAATATTTATTTCATCAAATGTGTGACAAACATTGCCTAATTCTTATTTGTTTTTTTTAGCCGAGTAAAATCAAACAAAAGTAATTAATGAAAACAAAATCTAATATAAACATGATTTATTATGTATCTATAATATTAACAAATGATTTTCCCATATTATTATTTTTTAAGTAATAACTCAATAGGCTTACAGAGAATCTATAGTACAAGTCAAACTCAAATCTTTTAATATATATATATATTATTTCGGACTGTTGATTATCGAAAATTGGGCCTTGTCCTCATTGTAGCCCAACTTGAACCTTTTTTTTTATACACCATCCTTAACACTTGCATATTATTATTTTTTAATTTTAATTCTTTTTAATTTATTCCTCTCTTTTTTTTTTAAGGTAACTTCGAATTAATTTGAAAATTTTAGTTCAAAATATTTGATACATTTGAACTAAAAGATAATAATACTGTTTAAAAAATCCTTAGGAAAGTTTAATACCGAATTAAAAAACAACATACTTATATTGTTTAAGTATGAGAAATTTTGAAATATTACCTAAAAAAAATAGTATAATTATTGGAAAGAGTGGTACAGAAAATAACTTGGTCTTAGTCATATCCATGAGCCCAACCTCAGCTTCTAATTTTATGCAGTTTCTTCTTCCACCCATAATTTCTTCCTACACCTCTCTACCCAAGTAAAATAAACAAAATACCTTTCCAATAATGTTTGTTTCAAATCCTAAACACTTCTTCTATTTCCCTGCCTTATGTTCTCCACCTCTACTACTTATCCTTTACAACACCATAAATCCCCAGATTCAGTTTTTTATTCTATCACCTCTATTTAATATAGTTTTCAATACTTAAAGATGAATAATTATTATTAGTATTATGTATCTATTACATGTTTTTTACACTGAAATTATACATTGAAATTCAAATTGTTCAATCTATAATAGTTTTATGAAAATTGGATTAGTTCTAAAACACCTAATCCGAAATGATTTTGAAAAAGTCAATCCATAAAGTGGCTCCCGAAAAATGGATTCTGAAATAACATTTATAAAAAAGATTTTCCATAACAAGTTTTGAAAGGTGGGTTCCATAATATATTTTTTTAATTGATTTTCTGAAAATACATTCTAAAACTCATTTTCTAAAACATGTTTGTGAAAAATCTTTTTTAAAAATGTATTCTCAATCTGCACTCCAAAATATGTTTTGAGCTAAAAATCTTGTTACATGTACTTAGTAAAAAAATTGATACGATTTAAAAATATTAGGAGATTTTTACCTATATCTTGTAATTCTTGAAATAATAGTAGAAGAAAGAATGAAAATATTTTAGGATTTAAAAATGAGACATTCAAATATTTATAAAACAGAAATAACAATAAAGAGTTTTTCAAAATGGTCACTAAAAACTTTTCAAAAAAATTTCTCAAAATCATTAATATGAATATCAAAATCATGATGTAAGTTCTAGATCCAAGTAGTAGTAGTATCAAGTCCCTTATCTATCATATATTTGCCTATTTCTCATAAGAAGTTTTTATAGGATCCCTACCTACATATAAAGTTAAAATAGGATTTAGATTTAGTTTTTTATGGAAGTACAGAAAGAAAGTGCCCTAACTTTAACGTTAAGCCCAACCATCTACATCCAAATGTTGGGCACATGCCCACGAAATGAAATAAAGTGAACTTGAAACTCAAGAAAAGGTTAATCTATCGTTTTAAATTTTTGGATGAAAACATTTTTCAAATTTTGTTGAATGGTAAATATTGCATACATGTTATTGTACTATTCGAACAGTATTCAATTGTAAATTAATAGTATATGACAAGAAGTGGTTTATTAATCTTCTTTATTTTTATTTTTATTTTCAAGCTTGCTAATGTTCGAATATATTATCTTAAAATTCGGTTTTTTTTTTTTCAAATCAAATGATCGACAATCCAACCTCGATTAATAACATTCAAATACGTTATGGAGTTCTTAAATAAATTCAGTTTGTGGTAGAGTTTTTTCAAATTGTTTCACGAAATTACCATTACACTGGGAAGAAAAATTTAACCAAAACTCGTGTGTTCTTCTGTACAATCAACTAAATAATTAACACCACTTCCAATTACGCTCCTATCCTCTCCACAAAATCGAACACAATATTTACACCACTGGTAAAAAAAGAAAGAAAATTTACGAGGAAAAACTAAGCTTTTTACACAACAAAATTCAGAATAAGCTTTAAATTTCTGCACTCTCCAAATTGTATCTGAAATTTCTCACAAGACAATAACGTTCTCATTCTGATTATCCTTGTTCATCTTCTAGTTCTACACTAATGTTTGCGATATCCAATCACATTAGAATGTCACCTTCCAGCATCCTCAGCACCTATATAACAGAAGAAAGCATAAAACAGAGTTAAAGTGTGAATAGTCTTATAAGTACAAATATAATTGCATGCAATGGTTCAATTATAAAGATGTTCATTAATTTTCCAACCTGAGACATTCGAGGCCTTAAATGAGGATCTCGTCCAATGCACAGAGAGGAACATTGCAGCATGCGATACACCTCTTGATCAACATAGCAGTTTCTTAAGCTCGGATCTACAAGTTTATAAATAGCTTGTTTTTCAAGCAATGGTCGTGCCTATTATGAAGACATTCCAACCACAACCAGTGATCAAAAAATAATTTTAGATATAGACTCAAATCCACTTTTAGTTCATATAATTTCAACAAAGTGTAGTTTTTTTTGTCTGTAAATGTTACCCATTCACTTAGACATTGTTGGCCTTTGGGGCGGTTTATGTCCACTGCTTTTCGTCCTGTGACAAGCTCCAGCAATACTATCCCAAACGAGTACACATCAGCTTTTTCAGTAATTTGACCACTCTGAGCGTATTCTGGGGCCAAATACCTGTAAATAAGAAAGTCTTTCATCATCACTTTTTTAACAACTAATCAAAAGAAAATGGGAAAAATAAAGCACTACCCAAATGTTCCTATCACTCTGGTTTCCACACCCATGTCTCCATCTGGTTGCCACCTAGCAAGTCCAAAATCTCCTACCTAAAATCAATTAGGGTCTTTTAGTTGAGACATTTCATATCATAAAACATGCCTAACAGCTTAATGATGAGCATATAGCAGTTTCTGTACAGAAATCAGTGAAAAGAACATGAAATCAATGTAGTGCATTTCAGAATGGAAGAAAAAGACGTACTAAAGCTTCAAAATCATGAGTGAGGAGGATATTGTTAGGCCGCATGTCACGGTGCACAATACAACCCACTCTACATTCTTCATGAAGGTATCTCAAACCACGAGCTGCTCCAACTGCAATTTTTTGCCTTGCGGACCATTCCAGTACATTCTGCTTTCGTCCTGCAAATCCAAATCATCCCTTAAAAATCCCTTTTTTCTTATTGCTTCATAAGATTTTCATGTAGAAATACTTACACTGTCAGGGTCAACTGATAAAAAACTATCTTAGATATCATGGTTAATATAGTTGTTATAAAAGTCAACAAATTTATCATCGTACAAACAGTCTGGGATTGGATAAGACTATAAACATAAGTACATATCAGTGCATTCTAAATGAATTTGCCAAAGGGACTATTAGTACCTCATGAGTTTTTTGAATACTACACATTCAAAGGAAAAACAGCCAATTTAAAAAAAAAAAAAATTAAGATTTTGATGACAACCCTCGACCAAAGTTGAATAAAGAGCATTGGAGAGACAATTTTCATTAGGGAGTATAATGGTAATTAACTGTACAAATTATTCTTCTGCTAAGATATTTAGTATGGGTAAAGGTAGAAATTAATAGGGAGAACAGCAATCTCCAACACTGGTTATGAATGTAGCAAAAAGAGAAAGTAAGGATTCTAGGGAATTTACTGTAGAGGTGAGAATCAAGAGAGCCATTGCAGATGTATTCATAAACAAGCAATCTTCTTCCATCCTCCACACAGAACCCAATTAGCATCACAACATTGCGATGCTGTGCACAGCTTAAGACCTCTACTTCTGAGCAAAACTCTTTATCTCCTTGAGTGCTGGCTAATTTATACTGTTTCACAGCAATGACTTGTCCATCAGGTAGAACTCCACGGTGTACAGACCCGAAACCACCTTCCGCTAAGAAATTTGCTTGTGAAAAACCACCCGTGGCAAGTTGCAATTCAGCAAATGTAAACCACCTTGGTGGATTTCCAAACACAGGTGCCTTGTGCTGACAAATAGAGCACAACGGAGGAGGACCAGGAGGTAAACTTTTAGCTAGTGAAATTGCTTCTCTAACACTTTTGCTCAAGTTCACATCAATTTTACAATTAAGCATTCCTAGTATAGGATCTTCATCCAACTTTGAGAATTTCTGAAGCAAAGCTTCATAGGCAGTGGCCAAATTCTTGTCACTGGATCTTTGCATGTTGTCTTCGTGCTTTGAGAAATCACCATCCATGCAAATCACATTTGAAATCCATGGCTGAAAATATGAACTCTTGGATGACATACTTAACTTTTCACTCTCGGAGTCAGACTCAATATCCTCTAGGTTGGTCAGTCCCTCATGAACAAAGGTAAAACCTCTCCTTTGTCTCTCATAATTGTCAGAGTGGAAAAATGGGGAAGTAGCAGGATCTGAGCTTGATATTGATGATGTTCCAATATCAGTTGCAGTCAGTGGTGGTGACCCTTGTTCAGGACTGCTAGCAGGAGTAACAGCTGGACCTCTAATTATATCTGCATGATCAATGTTGTCTTTCAAGTTTCTTGCAAGTGTCAATGGACAACCCATGTTTAGTTCCATCTTAGGTGAACTGTTCAAATTCAAGCGCAGAATCTTTGGCCTAGACCGCTTCATAATTACAATATTGCAATGCAGCTGCTCCATGCAGTATTTCTTTTCATGTTTCAACTTTCTGCAAGTAGATAATTATTTTCAGTCCATAAGTAATTGGGGCGATTTCATAGATGTATTAAGCAACAACACAGCCTTTTTTAACATAGAAAACTAAAAATTACTTGTCCAGTATAACCCAGCTTGACTGGACTCTCTCGGCCTCAGCAGCCACAGCTCCGTATAAAGAACTAGAAAGAATCTTCACTCTGATCTTTATCTGTGTAAATATTTGACAGTTTAGAAAAGCTGAACACTAGACATGAAGAAATAAATAAATAACAAAATAATAAAATATATATATCTATAAGTTATTACAATGTTATGTTCCAACCTTCTCTGGATCATAAAAATCATGGAGTTGAAGCACTAATTGAGAACAGGAATTTGTAATAACTTCTTTCTGATCTGAAGCGGTGCCTAAACTGGATCTCCAATTACTAGAGGCACAGTCAGTAGTAAATCTTGAAAGTCCCCATACCCTCTTGCCTGCAAAATGCACAAATTATAGTCAATCATTAACCTCATACAAGAATGAGTAGAACAGGTTTCTGGATTGTTCAGATCTCAAGCAACGCCAAGGTCCTAAAGCCTTACACATTTGAAGGTGCAAAACACAAATGTGTAATATGTGCCGTTCAACCTTCCTCCGGTGCCTCATTCTCTGTATGCATCTTCTCAAATTTTTATTTCTTTAACTCCGTTTCATAAAAGCCATTAAGTGTGAAACTATATTGAGTAAAGTAACTAAGAAAGAGCCTAAGAATCTGGGTATAAATTGAAAAAAGAAAAAAGTAACCATTACTTGAAGAAGGAGCCGGAATGACCACCAACAACTTAATGCAATCCCCTGGTTGAACAACATGAGTCAAAGCCCACACCAAAGCAGTCCTTGAAATATCTCTAGAAGCTTTAACTGCAACCACAACCACTTTACCGGTGATTTCTGAGGTACCCATCTCTTCTTCATGAGAACCCTTTTGGCTGCTCATCTCAAATTCTGAACTTGCAAGGAGAATCAGCCACCAAAAGCCATCTGAAACGCTGAATCAGCCAAAATATTGCAACTTTGCAACAGTGAACAGTGACAACAAACACCCTCGGAAACCAAGGTTCTTCTTTTTTGTTACCCAGAAATGAAAAAGTAGCAGGGCACACACACTTCAAGGCACTTTAGTTAAATAACCTTCCGGTTAAAGCAGACACAAGTGAAAATCCAGGCTTAACAGTGACTCCACAGCTACAGAAGAAAGGACAGTTTTCGTTACATTACAGGACATAAAATTACAAACCAAGGATGCCCAATTCACGTTGAGTGCGTGAGGCCATGGGAACAAAATCCGGTTACCGCATCCATTTCTTATTATTGGCATTTTCTTCTGACATTTTATTCATTATGATCGAGACAACAAGCGACTTTGAAAATCGAAATTAAAAAAGGGATCATTTTCAATCAAATAAGGACACGAAGAAATGGACACTTTTTAGGTGATGGTGTAGAGACAAATTCTGTTCGCTAATCCCAAAATTGAATGAAGAAGATTCATGACATGTTAATCATGTAAACCACTAAAGCTAGTTCCCTTCTTAGAAACCCAAAAGAGTTCAAGCCATTCTCGGTTACTGTAAATCATGCGAATGAAAAAGGTATTGCATGAATGAGCAAATGAGCAGTGTAAAATATGTCGCGTGAACCGAGGGAAATGGATATTAAAAGTACTAGTTTTATACTACTATTAGCAAATGATCACAAAGGTTTTACTTAGAAATCACTCTCCATGGTTGTCAAGTAGAGTGACATTCATGACATGACATGTGGATCTTTTTTACTATGTGGGGTGTTACCATCTTGTGCAAGTTACAAGGCATTGATTGAACTGAAGTCTCTTTGAAAGTTCCAACTATTAACATTATTTAATTTGTAAATGTGAATAATTATACTGGGCACGAAATTACACCTCAATTCACGTCAATCCCCACTCAACATTTGGCACAAGAAGCTGCAACTAATACAAACATATGAAGAGTTCTTTCATGGTGCCGATTGGTATTATTAAGAGCAGAAAACTTCTCCAGAACGGAAGGCCTAAGGCCACGCTTGACTCTATTCCCATTTTGCTTGCTATGTATTTGGTGGGGGCATGAAGCATTGATGGTTGAAGTGAAAGAGTGATGTCATTACAATGCACTTGATAGTGCATATGCATCTTTAATGGAAGATATCTTGCCACAAACTTTGCTTCAATTGAGTTATATAAATATATTACTTTATCGTGAGTTCATTAATGATACTGTTTTTTTTTTTTTGTTGATTATTAATTGTTATGCCTCCAATCCTAACAAAAATACACTAGTACTTTGTTTTCTTTTGCTTTTAGTCAATGGACTTGCAAAGACCTCCAAAAGATACCAAAAGTTAAATGAGATTTGTAATTTAATGGTAATAGATATGGAAATAAATAGTATATTCAAGTAGGGTATGAAGTATTTTTTATCATCTTATGAGAGATAGATTCCAACCATGTGCAGTTAATTAACAACTTTTATTGTCAGTATTCGGACTTGTATATATGTAGGCTTAAAAGGATTTTTTTACTCGGTAGCATATTATTAAATTTATAATTTAAAAATAACATCATTCTATTAATATTTACCTAACTAATACTATTAAATTTATAATTCAAAAATAACATTATTCTATCAATATTTACTCAACTAGCACTATTTTTAGATACACGATTAGAATTCGATTCTCAAGAGACTGAATTTCGACCTCATTAATTAATATAATTTTAAAAATAAAATAATATTTATTAAATATAATAATTAAATATAAATATATATTTTTTTATATAAAATAAATATATAAATATTATATATATTTAATTATTTATATAATTATATGAAATAAATATAAATATATTTTTTTAAATAACATAAAAATATATTTATATAATTATATTATTAATATATTTTTATAAATATAGTAAAAATATATTAAAATATAATAAAAATAATAAAAATATTTATATATTTCTATAAAAAAATATTATTTTTACTTATTAAAATTATTTTATATTAAAAATATATTTAAATAATATATATAATTTATTTATGTAAAAATGTTATATAGAAATATATAAATATATATTTATTAAATTTTATTATATTTATAAAAATATAAATAAATATTTAAATATTATATATATATATATATATATATATATTAAATATATTTGTTTTTACTATATATTATAAAAATATATTAATAATATAATTATATAAATAATTAAAAAAAGAATATATATATATATATATATATATATATATTATATAAAATATATATATTTATATTTATATTTAATTATTATATTTAATAAATATTATTTTATTTTTAAAATTATATTAATAGTGAGGTTGAAATTCAACTTCCTAATAATCGAATTCTAACTGTGTAAGAAAATTGTGCTAGTCAGGTAAATATTGATAAAATGATGTTATTTCGGATTATAAATTTAATAGGATGTTAGTGAAGAAAAAAAATCTCAAAATATTTGACTTTTTATAAAAGTGTGCTACTTATGTAAATATTACATACAGTATGCTATATATGAAAATTTATGTTAAAATAATGCTAAGCGGGAAAAAAATCGGTTTAAAAGCTTGTGTACTGATTTAACAAATGAATAAAGAAGAAACATAATTTTTTATATTATATATGATTTAATTTTGAAAAATAGTAAAATAAATTATAAGATGTGATAAAGTTTACTAAATATTTGTGTGTAGTTTACTCTAATAGCATATATAAACATTATTTACATTTGTGCGAATATCTCAAAGTCAAACACAGAAAATTGTCTTTGTGCATGAAATTTTTGAGTCATGTTGACTTGCTTGTGATATAATTAACTCTATATTGTTCTTAATTGTGAGCCAGGGGTGTAAAAAAATGCCAATTTTTTTATTAAATTTTGGAAACATAAAAGATATCTTATTACCCTTTTTCTATGTAAAAATTAGAGAGGTACACGAGTTGACCCAATAGTCGATTCTTATTTCATTAGAGATTGGTCTACTAATTTTTAATAAATAAACAAATTAGATATTTTTTAAAATATATTTTTAATTTTATAAATATTTAATATTTTTATTAGATAAATGAAAAATATTAAATTCACATAGTACAAAACCAAGTAAGAGTTGTGATGAAATCCATTATCATTTTCAAAAATACTCTGCCTTGTGTACAAGGAAGATATTTACAAAATAATTTTATATACAAATAAAAGTGTTCGACCATCTTAACTTTTACTTTTGTATAAACAAGTATTGTAAATTTTAATTTCCTCTCAAATAGTTTTTAAATTCCATCCTTTAATCATTAATTTTTAATTCATGATTTAACTCTTAATTTTTTTATTAAATTAGAGTTTAGTACTAAAATAAAAAATAACTTTTATTTATTTTAATGTTGAGTTGTTGACTACTTTTAATTTTACAAACTACTCTTTTATACATTAAAACTTGATAAAAGTTAAAATTATATTAAAAGATTGTGATTCTTTTCGTTATTTTCTACTCTCTCTTTTTTTCTGAATATATAATTGTTATATCAGATCTGTGAGAAAAGGTAAAAATACAATTTACAGATTAGTTAGTAGAAAATAAAAAATAAAAAATTTTATGTGTAAAATAAAAGTTAATAACCAACTGAAATAAAATAAAACTTCAACATAAGTTTAAATATTAATATAATTTTCTCCATAACTTACATCCTAATATTATTAAGGGCTAGGTGTAACTATTTGGGTGCCACCTTTTGTATGAAATGACCAGAATGCATGTGGGTTTCTTTTTATGGTTGGAAAATATTGAGTTTCATTGTATTGTAATGTATATGCTATTGGCTGCATGCTACACATGGGGAACATGGCACAGTTGTTTGAGGTTGTCGCTTTCGGTACAGCTTATCAGAATTCAGAATAGGTGGAAGTTTCAGAACCTTGAAGCCAAATTTTCTTTATACACAAAAAAACAACAAATTTCAAATTTGGATCTACAAAATGTTAAGCTGTGTCAACGGTATACTTGTTTGTTATATGTAAATATCAATTTTTTATATTTTAATATTTATTACAATATAAATAATCTTTCACTCTCTATACAAATAATCTTGATTTTGTTTTGATTTTTGTCATTAAAAATAACTTAATGATATTTATTGAGTGTTAACATGGCCGGGAAGTACGCTTTATTTTTTCAGTTTCTATGTTTGTTTTTTATTTTAATGTAAAAGCGAATTAAACTTTCTAAATAAACTTGCTAATAAATAAGGAACTTGTTTCGTTTATTGATTCGTTTTATCTCAAATAATTAAATATTTTTTTATACAACATTTTTAATATTTATCATCCAATTTATTAGTAGTTTTACTAAATATTTCTAATTCAATTAGTTAATCTGTGTTATAAACATATGATTGGTACACTATATCAAAAAATAAATTTGATTGGTATATTATATTAGAAAGTGGATTTGAATATAATATAATGTATAACACTAATTTATAAGGTAAAAATTATCCATATATATATATATATATATATATATATATATATATATATATATATATATATATATATATATATATATTGTGAATTATATATTTTTTATCAATATGATATTTCATTCATTTAGTGGATCTTAAAACATAAGTTCACGCCTAATTTTAAATTTAGAAAATCAACTTACGCTATAATATTTATATTTATTTAATTATATATTTTATTATATTTATAGACAATATAGAATCGTTGAAGATGCTAAACAAATTGGGTCCGTTCCTGTAAATCATGAAATTCTGGCAAAAATTAGGTTTAGAAGTTAAGTATAATGAAAATAGTTAGAAATGTGACAAATTATGGTATAAATGTGTTCATGTGTGAGTGGTGAGGACTGTGAAACAAAATTCAAATATGATTATATATAGAAACAAATATTTGTTGTATGCTCCATCTGAAATACTATGTTTGGCGGGTAACTATTTGAAAAAACTTACAGGTTTTCATTGATACATATGAATATATATTTTTTAATTTAAATAAAATTATTTATAAAATATAAACTCATACAAATTATATCCTTAAATATAATTAAACGAAAGTCAACATTTAAAAAAAATCAAATAAATTATAACGTAATGTATAAATTTAAATAAATTAATCTCTTTAAAAATATAAATCTATAAAATCAAATTCTAGATGATTATCGAATTATAAATAGTTTTAATTTTAATAATTTTATTTTAATCACGTAATTTAAATATATATTAAAAATATATAATATTCGCTCTGCCTGTCATGATATTCGAATAACTCATACATATTATCAGGTATCACGTCCATAAATACACGTGAAACGTTAAAATACACGGATTTGTGGTTTTGTTAATTTTTTTAATTTACAGATATTGTTAAATTTTGAAAAAATTACAAATTTAAATAAATTATGTTATAATAAGAAGAAATCGTGTTTTATAATACATTTTCAATCTTTTATTTTATTTTTAAATTTAAGAAATCTTGATAATATTAATTTATATATATATATATATATATATATATATATATAAAGTGATACTATCAGTATTATTCTTCTTATTATACTATGATAAAATTATTATATTATTATAATTAATAACAATATTTTTATATTTTAATAAAATAAATAATAATAATAAATTTATATTATTACTAAAACTAATAATTACTATGTTATTTATTAATAATAAAATTATATATTTATAATTTGTAATATTATTATTGCATTATTATTATATTAATAATATAAATATTTTTATTATATTATTAGTTATAATAATAACAATTAAGTTATATATAAAAATTGTTATTGGTATTTATAATAATAAAATAATATAATTATTATTGTTATTATTAATTAAATGATAAGATAATAATATTATTATCTTATTATTAATAATAGAATAATATTTATAATTATTATTTTATTATTAATTATATTTAAAATAATATGAATAAAATAAACTAACATGTTGATGTTCCTCTGGATATAACTTTGAGTTTTTAAAAATAGGTTTAGGTTCCCAACATTTAATTTTATTTGGTAAATTAATGACATAGTTTGGTTTGTTCTTTCATGTATTTTGTTTTTTTGTTTTCTTTTTTTATGCATTTTTACTGGAAAAACTTAATGTTCAAATGCCAACTTAATTGAGACATCATTTACGTTAAGCTGTCACATATTATTTGATTAATATATATATATATATATATATATATATATATATATATATATATATAATTGATAATAATTAAATGCATTAAAATTATTATAATTTATAATAATATTAAAGCTTTATAATATAATTATAATTATGATATATTAAATATGATAATTAGATCAATATAAATTTATTATTTTATTATTATAAATAATAATAACAAAATTTTTATTATATAATTTAATTATTATTATTATTAAAAATAAAGTAAATAATATTAATATTAATATTTATAATTATATTATTTATTTTTAATATTATTACTATTTTAATATTATTAATAATAAAATAATATAAGAATTATTGTTTTAATAATAATAATTAAAATTTAATATTTAATTATTATTATTATTTATTTTATCAATAATATAAAAAATATTATCATTAATTATAATAATTATTATAATAATAATTGTATTAAATAATTAGATGTTTATATATATATATATATATTTATATAAAAATCGTAATATGATTCCTTCTTAAATCTAATAGTAAAAAAAATATTATTATATAATACAATTTATTTAAAATTTAGTTTTTCAATTTTTCAATTTCTATCTAAATAAAGATAATGAAAAGACAACTTTTTAATCATTCACTCAGATCCATTGTTAAACGGAATTCATCTCACTTAGTTGAGTCCGGAGTTAGGATGATCAGCCTAATACGCTGAAAAAGAAATTTGATTTTAGAAAAAATGGCATCATTACGAGAATGTACATAAGAAAAAAATTAGTCAATATATTAAGATAATAGGTGAATCCATTAAGATATGATATACTTAATATTTTTTTACAAGAAATAAATTCTAATTTAAAAATATCAATCCCTTTAATCCATTATATAAAATTATATCAATGATTGAATATTTTCAAGAAGACATGAATCCTAATTTATATATATATATATATATATATATATATATATATATATATATAAAAGTTAAATCTAAAAAAATTGTGTAAAAAATAGTATTAAATAATACAATTTATTTAAATTCATAATTTATTTTAAATTTACTCACATAGATAAATTTAAAAAAAATAAATACACAGTAGAAAAGCCCAAATTTGTAGGGGTCATATTCTGCAAAATGATGAATTTTATGGCAAAAACAAATTGGTTAACCATTATTGGGTGACCTGATTATGAGTGAGAAGTGTTTTTTTAGAGCAAAAGTGTCATCTCATTAAACATGTGAAGGCATGATAGAAGTCATAGATATCTTGACTGTACTATTGTACACCAAGGATTAGCATTCATTTAGGATTAGCATTCATTTATTGCACCAATCTTGCAGTTCATTTTGTGACGAAAATGTATCTCAAGCTAGGAGCTATAGTAGTATGGGCATGGCTAGATATCTGATTAGGTATGGAATAAGGTGTTTATCACGGTAAATGACTAGACTGAGTTATATTGACATGTTCATTATGAATTTGTTACCTAAAATATATTATGGTCTTTGTATGGTTACTTCAACCTGTGCAAAACATAGGTTTATAAATGTTGGCTAGAAGTAAGTTGCATGTCCTCAGCTAATCTGAGGACCTGTTCAATTAAAATGAAGCGACGATAAATTGATACTATAAAATGGTGTTTAAGCGAACCTTCTCATAGAGGTGTAAGGCTAAAACCCTGTAATCTGTGACTATAGTGATTGAGTATCAAACCAGATATAATCATGTTATCATTGAGTGAAACTTTATGTTAAAAGACAGAATAATGTTTCTTTATATATGGTTCATTAAAAAAAATAAACCAATTTTTTATTAATTTTGGATGGGTTCCGTACTAGTTCTACTTAGTTTGAGATGAGCTTTTTTAAAAAATAAAAATCAATGGTCAAGCACCAAACTGATCAAACGAACCGTTTTGGTATTTTAAAGAATATTTTTGTCAGAAATTATGAAAAATATTTTCAAACAATTAGAAAAATGATGCAGAACTAGAGGAAAGACTGTTCCACAACATAACCGTAACACACTCGGGAGAAAACAAATAATCTTTAAAAACTTAAACTTGGTGCCGTATGTTGTTCAATAATCAGATTGATAAGTTATATATTGGGGAACAATGCATGCGTAAGGGACTTGCACTAACAATAATTATTCGTGTAATTCCTATCTGCTGGAGAGAATGTACGAAGAGATTGTGTATAAGAGAATGGAACTGGAGTATAAAACACCCTCAAAACAATCACACTACTGGAGTTTAATGGAGTCTCCTTTATTGAATCTCTAAGGTGCTAAAGACTAGAGCATTGGTAACCTACAGGGGAAGAAAGAGGGTGAGCATCTATCCTATACACTAGCGGGGGCTAATTTGTTGATGAGGTTGAGCAGAATGCTCTCGAACTCCTCCCCATTGCTCCAATCATGAACTTCTGCAGCAACTAATTCTGGGTCACTGTCAATCCCGTTCCAGAGCGGATAATTCTTCCTTGGCATCACAAAATCACCTCCTTTCAGCTTCAAAGTTGGGCAATAATCACCTGATCCATCTCCAATGTAGATGAATCTTCTTTCACTTCCAAGTAAAGAACCTCGAATTTTCTCTATCACTAAACCCTGAGACAGAAAAAAGAAAAACAACCATGTGTATCCAATAACTGCACTAGCAGACAAAAAATCAAAACAGAGTTTCATGGTCTGGTCATGCAAGGTACATACTTAAAATAAAGTTTATTTGTATCACATACTTATATGAAATTAAATCTTCAAACATATATCTTATCTGATATAATTTCTATCAATCGATCCATCCTCAATGATAACCGATATTAGTACAATTTAATTAAAATTAATATAAGTTTTCATGAATGAACAAGTTAATGCTGACCTTGCACATGTTGGGAGGGCAGAGGGAACAAGCATGAGGAGCCAAGGTTGAATCATGAAAGGGAGTGATTCGAAGGCGTCCTTCGTTATCTACAAAACCAGGGTTTGTATTGATCTGTGAAAAGCACCCTAATAAACCATGGTGTTCCAGAATGGTCCGAATGAAAAACACATTCGCGTCACTAATTATCCTCAAGTCACAACTGCAAATTCAAATATCACACGTTATAGTAAAGCAAAGCAGAAAGTTAACGATGAAAAAACAAAGAAGAGGATTAAATTACCCTAGAGCGTGTGCAGATTTTATTGCTGAAACAATTTTCGGATGCAAGGGGGTTCTTTTAAGGCACTCTGCAATGTGGTCGAGGGTGATCCCGTGGGAGTGGAGCTCCTCCATGATCCTGTCCTGAATCAAATTTCAAACATGAAAATGAGCATCGAGGGTTTCAATAGCCAGATTCAATGCATGTGTACGAGAGATAAAGGGTAGTATTATAACTATACCATGAGAGAGGTCCAAGGCATGGTGTGGCGAAGTTGGTTGAATAAGTGGGTAAGTCCCAACTCAGAGATGATCCATCTATCACTGTCATAGTCGATTATGGTTTGATCGAAGTAAAAAACCACCATCGCCGTCACGCTGCCACCCATTTTCGCCTCGTCCACCCTAGCAGGACCGCGACAGTGAAAATGAAAAAAATTGAAGAGAAGAAAGGTTAATAAATACCCTAACGAAAGGGTGATGTGCAACTGCAGTTTTAAAAGCGTATATTTTGGTGTTTATGTTTTCAACATGCGTAGATCTTTTCACCGTTGTTTTTTTTTTATTATTATTAAAGCTTGACATATTCAGTCCCATGTACTTAGGATGTGGTTAAGAGATTTATAACATATTTAACAGATCTTTTTTATATGACTCATCTTATTCGTCTTATTTGTCATCTCTTATATATATTACTAAAAACACAGACAGATCTTATTTATTATTTACATTTTATAAATTATATATATATATATATATTATTAATTTAAATTATTTTCACATAAATATCTACTGTTCCTACCCTATTATAAGACTCTGATTCCTCGGAGCTTTCTTTAACCGTAAAATAAAACTCATTATGATTGGACCAATAGTGATTCCCATGGGTTCCTGCGCCTACAAAATCTTAGGGGTTATTCCATTCATTTCGGAATTTTCTTAAATCTAAAAGGTATATTTTAATAAAATAAATCCGAAATTAATAAAAGATTATTAAGAAAAAATTGGATACAGGAATAAATACACTTCAATGGATTTAAAGAAGTTGTGTTTAAACATTCATATTTTTAGAAATAATATCTTTAATGTTTAACCCCTTTTCATGACCGTTTATTTATTGATGCGTGTTTTGGTGTCAAATTGTGAACCAATCAACTTTAACATGGTTCAAATAAAAAAATTGATAATTATGTTTATCACTAAAATTTAGTTTATTCTGATCTCATTAATCTAATATCAAATCAATTAAATAAATAAAAATATATTTTTAAAATTTAAATTTTATTAATAAAATTAAATTTTATTTAAAATATAATAATTTATAATATAAATTACAAGAGAATATATTTATCCAATTTTAAATTAAAAATTAAAAGTTTATTTTTTATCATTATTATTTATTTTTTAATAATTTATTAATTTAAAATAATAATTAATCTTAATTATTATATTTTAAAATAAATAATTATTAAAAATTTATTTTAATATTTATTTATATAATAAATAATTTTTTGTTAAATTAATTTATAATACATCTATGAATTCTAATAAAATAATATTATTTTTATTTTTTATTTAAAAAATAATAATTATTTTATAAAACAATTATTCCATAAATTTACTTATTAATTTAATTTAAATTCATGTACATCATTACTTAAATAGGATAAATTCATGAACATCGTTACTATTTCGTGTACTTTTCGGATGAACCCGGATTAAGAATATTTCATTAGACATGTGTGTTGTAAGAGGAGGGATACAAGCACATGATTTTTAGAGTTTTGAGGACTTTAAATAGCAATAGAGGGCTGCCAATAGTTGGTCCATATGACCGTACTCGTAGCTAAAATGGCCCAAAACTAACCCAGATGAAACCGAATATTGGAAAAGAAAAAAATAGAAACGAAGGTAAAACACACAACACACAAGGCCTAGAGTGAACCCAGAGACAAAGAGCGTTCTCAGTGCTTGCTGCGTCGCAACGTACCGGCGGCGACGGAGAGTTACCTCAGCGATTTCCGATCACTGCATCGCACCTCTTCACAAAGTAACGCTCTTCCCTATTCTCTTCTTCTTCCTATTGCTTCCATCTCTCGTATCTACACTTGACATATTATACCTCGTTCCTTTGTTTTTTGCATTTCCTTTTCAGATCTCCTTCTCTCCTCTTACCGATCTTCTTCTCGCATACTACCATCTCTTTCATTTTCTCTCATAAGCTCAATTACGTTTCATTTTTATGTATATCTCCCAACTTGATTTTTTTTTTTTTTTTGTAATGTGAAATGATTGGTAATTTAGGTTTTGACTTGGCGGCCAGAGCCCCTTTTTAAGTATACATGGATTACTGTAACTAATCCTTTGAGAGACTGGAGTGGAACTGTCTATGCTTGATTTTTTTTTAATCTACTGTTTTTACATGGTATAATAATGCTTTTATTTGTTGAACATTTTATCTTTGTGGGTGGGCGTATTAATTTGTTGGAATGAGGGATTTTGAACAATTAAAACCTTTATGTTTTATAGGATTAGGCTGTTTTCCTCTTGTGTGTTTATTTATACAATTTAATCTATTTGAATTTCTAATCATTTGATATCAATATTAGCTCCATCTTAAACCCTTTTTTAGTTACTGATAAAACACTACCGGCAAAGTCAATTGCCCCTAATTTAGAAATAGAAATGGATGAGGAGCACCAATTAGTGTAAATTGCCATATTGAGTTCTAGATATTAGTTTAAGTTTACGCTTTTATTAGTTAATTTTCATTTTTTTATCACTATTATCAGTGTTACTAGAAGAATTTATGGTATGTAGGATCTGTTTAAATGAACGTGTTCGTAAACATGGCTGGGAGAAGAAAATAAGAATTAAAATAGAAATAAAATTTTCTATAAGCTAAAATTGGCTTATTCATAAGTTAAAAATGATATTTTAGAGAAGTTAATGTGAGAGAGTTTCTACAAATTAGTTAATGTATAAGCTAGTTTTAGCCTGTGAAGAAATTCATTTCATTTTTCCTTCTTATATTCTTCTCCTAGAAATGCTTTTGGAGAAGTTTATTCAAATAAGCCCTTGACGTATATCGCTGCCCTTATATCTTATTCTATCTGGTCTTTTCCCTTTGGTCTAGAGTTTTGTTCTACTTAACTTGGAGACTTGATGGCGTCAAAGTTACAGCAGTTGCAGTCCAAAGCATGTCAAGCATCTCAATTTGTAGCCAAACATGGAACTAACTACTACAGGCAATTGTTGGAACAGAACAAGCAATACATTCAGGAGCCTCCTACAGTAGAAAAATGCAACCTGTTAGCGAAGCAATTGTTTTACACTCGCCTTGCTAGGTTATATTTCCTCCAACCCCACTTTCCCCCTAAATAATGTGTATGGCTGGATTCTCTGTATGAAATTCTCTAATTATATATGCTTGTTGGTCATCTTTTGTTGATTTCATATAGTTTTTTTGGCACTTTATTACACAATGTTTTTTCCAGTCATGTCTAATGGCAGACTAGGGAAGATGTCCTGAATGACGTGGTCGCAACATTTTAACCTACTTTGTACTGGTGTATCATGTTGGTTTGCCCCTCTTTGACTATGAGATATAAGCACTCAGTCATCAATATCCTAACTTACCACAAATTTGTTGTTAAATGGTCCATTATATGGATATTGACAAGTTTTGTATACATTGCCCAAGGGCTTGGACACAGCCCTTCTCCTTTACCTGGATTTGGGACTCGCATTGAGACCATAGTTTGATTTAATGTCTTAAAGTAGTACATGGGAAAAATCTGCCCATAATTGATAGAATCTCTACTTACAAAGTTAGACTTTCATATAGGCTTCACTAGCTTGCCAGATATACCAAACTACACAACTCTTTAGCAGCTCTATAGGTGTGCAATTACCAAAGGACGTTTTCTAAATTAAATATCTATTACGCTTCAATAATTATTTATCTACATTACATAAGCAAGACATGCATATTTTGGAAACTTAGTCTCATTGCTTCAAAAAATTGCCATATGTGGTCATGGTGCTGATCGACATCTGGTTCTTGTTAGCGATGCAATTTTTACTTGTTTATGTTAAAGTAGTAACCTGATTTGGATTAACACCAAAAGTGCCGCAATTGAATGTACAGCAATGTGTTATGTGCATTTTTATGACTTAAACTGCTTCCAGTTCCAGAGCATTCCGAACCGTTCACTGGGACCTAAATGTAATGTGTTTAAGTAAAATAATGCCAAGTACACATCACCCTCTTGTACATTCTTTTGACATATGTACTGAGTTTGTGTTGTTGTCATTTTGTCTAGTAGGTGCTTCTGGAAGTGTGTAATTTTAGTCGTGACCTGAAATAACCTTTTTATTCAAGATATCCATTTGCCAATATATGATTTAAATTTAAGTTTTCCCATTATCCGCCGTAGTTTGGTTCAACTGTATGCCTTGAATTTAGCAGCTCATTACGTGTTTGTCATAAGCACTTATAGTTTTAAGTCTAGAACTTCTTGCTAATTGGTGTAAATCATGTTCTGCCCACATCAATGTCTCAGCAACTTGTTGCTTGTAGTTTTTATGCTGAAGCCCATTTCTGATAGGTGCTATTGAGTTAACGCCGTCTCTCTCTAACTTTGCCATCTTTGTGAATGTCAATACTTATGTGGATCAGTTCAATATGGTTTAGTTTTCAAATCAGGCATGTGTTTGAAATTATGTTAGTTTCAGCACAATCTTTAGTGAATTAGCAAAACAATGAACGCCTGTTCTGCATATTGTCTTGTCTATATGTAGAAAAGTCTGTTCTATGTCAAGTTAATTTTGGGATCCCTTGCTGCTGCTACATATAACTCGTAAAATCTTTTGCAGTATTCCGGGTCGTACAGAGTCCTTCTGGAAGGAACTTGATTATGCCAAGAATCTATGGAAGAACAGGAAAGAATTGAAGGTGGAAGATGCAGGTATTGCTGCTTTGTTTGGCCTGGAATGCTTTGCATGGTTTTGCGCTGGTGAGATTGTTGGAAGGGGATTTACTTTCACCGGTTATTATGTCTGACAATAACCTCTTGAAAGTGTAGATTTTAAGAGCTTTATATACTCCTAAAGCCATTTGCTCTGGTCATTTATACATTGTGTGGATTATGACATTCTACGAGGCAATTTTTGTTATTCTGAGTTTTTTCGTTTTGGGAAAAAGGTTTAAACCCTAGTGCTTAGCTTTCATAAGCCACAATAACCCCTTGTAGTTGAAAGCGGATGAACCTCCTGTTGTTCTCTTGTCATGTCGGGAAGATAGTGATGGTATTTCACAATTGATGTTTGATGGCACCCCGGCAAATTTTTTTCATATTTTTTATAATTTATATTGTTTTTTATTCCAATCAAGTATTATAACCAGAACAAAAGTTCATCCCAGAGAATTGATATTATGTCTAGATTTTTAAAATATACAATTTTGATTATAAATTAGAGCGATGTGCAAAAGTGAATACTAATTTGGTACTGGAAGTGGTATTTCTTCTCCTAATAAATGCCTAGGATCACTCTTTGATATGCAAAAGTGTGCTTTCAAATAAAATATTATATTATATTTACTTAGTCTGATCTCCTGGTTATGGAGGTGTAAATATATCAATGATTGTGATGGAGGTGTACATATGTCAATGACTGTGGGATCTGTTTGTGCTAAGCTAGTGAGGAATAGACACAACTCTAGTATAGTTAGAGGACGGTCACTCTATTACCATTTATTAAAAGGATCTTTCAACTCTATCACGGTTTTATTATAAGTTAGAAAATAAAATTTATATGTTGTATTCCAAGCATTAAATTAAAATGCATAAAGGTAATTGTAATTTATAAACTAAGTATTTTTCAAAGTTTTTCATATTATATATTTTTGTGAAAACTTATATATTTTTATATAAATAGTATAAATTATTTTCTTGTCCTATTAAGAACGTTCTACGTAAACATATTCCAAAATTCGTGGTGACAAACACAGGCAGATCAAATCCATTAATTTTGATTTCTAAGCACAGTGTTTTGATATATAAATAATCAAAATAATATTATTTTCAATTTTAGAATATAATTGTTATTTTCAAAAATCGATTCAACGTAATACATGAAGTTAGGTCCATTTTCACACTTTTAGAAAATATTTTTTTCATTATCTCTTAATAAAGTTTTTTTTTCATTTTTTTCTTAAATAAAAAAGGATTGGATAATGTAAATCATGATTCTTTAGATAAACATATCTAAAGAATAATTCTACAACATAAAATTTTATATTTTTAGTCAAATGCTATAAATAAATATTATAAAAATTAAAATATAAGGTTAAAGTGTGACGTATTAACAAATTAAACATTAAAAAAAAACATTTACAATATAGTAGCAACATAATTTTTTAAAATAATTATTACTATGTGTGATAAGTCTTTTAATTCTGTAATAATTTCATTAAAAAGTTATATATAATTATTTAATATAAATAATTATATAATGTTTATACATAATATTTAAAATCAAAGTCCATGTTTAAAATACTCGGAATAACTACCCTTTGTAAATACAAATAAAGTTGGATTTTCAAATTTAATAAGGTGAATGAAATTTGTGGATATTTGAAGGTGAGAACGAGAGCATAACGCATGTCTTATGCAATGGTTATGTTCTGGTGTGTTCCATTGAATTGGAGGTCACTCTCAATAACTTTAAGTATAAAAGGTGCAAAAGCTTTGTCGCTTAAACCAGTCATGGTAATTTTACCAAAGAAAGTTCTGAGAATATTAAATTGCGTGGTGACTAGGAAATTGTCTATGGGTAGAGTGGAAAACTGTGTCACTCATGATATCAACCAATTGACTGGTCGAGTGATGAGTCACATTGATTGACAAAAACCATGCAACTCATTAATATTAAAATTAAAATCACTTTATTCATTTTACCTACCATATTTATTCTCAATTTAAATATTGTTATTAATTTTTAAGATTATGAATTAATTTAAAAAATAAATAAATATAAATTTAATTTAATTTCAAAATGTGACCAATCAGATCTACACTTCATGGTAAGAAAGATATAATATTCAATAATTTTTTTACTATTATTTTTACTCAACTTAAAATGTTTTAATGAATTATTTTATTAAAAATGATACTTTCACAACTCAAATTCATAAAATTCTTATAAACAACTCTCTTTTAATATTATAATAATAATTTTAATTTTTTTCTATTTTTATTAAATCATTCCATAAATTATTATATTAATAAAAATGAGTTATTTAAAGGGTTGTATGGTTCTTATTGGTCAAAATATCACCAATCTACTTTATTTTAAATCATCCTCTCTTAATAATCTCTTTTTAAAAGTCAAAATGTTATGGTATGAACCATGTTAGTTGATATTATTGTTCTATATTAATATTTATTATTAATATAAAATATTATTCGTCAATTTTATAATTTATGATAATTATTCCATTTTATTAATTGAAAATTGTATTAATTAAAACAATTTAAATACTTAATATTTTTAGTTAATAAATATCATTTTTTAATTATGGTTTCACGTATGATGTTTAAAATTAAATTAATTAAAAATAATTTTGAAAATTAAAAAAATCTATTAAAAAAATTTCAAACAAAAAAATCAATCGATTATAACAGAATATCAATTCAAACTGAACTAAAATTATAGTATATAAAATTAAAATAAAATCAAGATATTACTATTTTAATTAATTACTAAAATTAAATCAAGACATTGCTATTTTAATTATTTTTTTATAATTTAAGATATTTATTATTATTTTGAAATTAAAAATAAAAATATAAAAAAATTGAAATTATAACTATTATAATTAATATATGTATAATATTTTAATAATATATTTTTATTAAATAATGATCTTATTTCATTTTGTATTGAATAATTATTTTATCATAATATATTTAATAAATTATGAAAAAAATGATTTAATTTTTTTAAAATATATAAAAATTAATTAAACCTATTTAAAATTTAGTGAAATTTATTTTCATCGCCAACGCACCTAATATAATATGCAAAAAATTACCGCATATCAATTAGAAAAAGGATTGAAATTATTTTTTAATCTTGAAGTTTTCAAACTTGTATTTATTGTCAAATACATTTGACTCTGTGTATAGTTTTTAATTTTAAAATCTGTGCTTATATTTGCATATAAAAAATTAGGATAATAGTTTAGTATAAATACCACCTGCAAAATCCCCACTAATTTCTACTTTAGCACGTGTAAAACAGCTTGTTCGATTGTTTGATTAAATTTTCTGACACATACATTTGAATAAGGAACCCATTCGTAAACACTTTACATTTTGACAAGTGATTTATATTATTAATTCAAAATTACCATTATCATAGTTGAAGTTAAAGCAGTTGAAAATTAGACTTTGATAGTGATGAATACTTATATTTTAAATGAATGCAAAAGAGAAATAAATTAAAAAAAAAATGTATCCTTCAATTAAAAAGGAGTAAATTTTGATGAAAAATGAAATTTTAAACAAAGGGGGAAGGGAGCATGTTTATGAACATTCTCTGTAAAGAGAAATGCAAAGGATTCTTTAGAATAATTTAGTAGGAGGGTTTGGTGAAGATGAGAAAGAATGAAAGAGATGAAATGGAAAAAGCAGAAAAGCAATGTGTGATTAATGATTGGAGTCAAATGAAAGGCAAGCAATGTACTATTTTTTAACTTCTAAGCTCCCTCTTCATAAACACAACAACATACCCAACCCTAGAAACCACACTCATTAATCACACAAACTACAAAAACACAATGAAAAATTGCATCACATAAATTAGGGCTTTGAGTCAAAAAGAGAATGATGGGCCAAACACAGCCTCTGTTGTGGTCAGAAACATACGCATCCCGCAAATTACGACCTTTTTAGATTTTCTTAGGTCTTCATCATCATCACTCAAATCATCTTTTCTTGTTAGAGAAATAGGTAAAAAATAATTTAAATTTTTAATTATATTTATTATTATTATTTATTGAATAATTTTTTTTTATTAGTTAAGGTATTTAATAATTGCTTTATTAAGGTATTTAAAATCAAGTCAAAAGACAAAGTGGATGAACAACAAATAAATATTCTTGAATTACTATGGTTGATAAGAGACTAAATTAGTATGATTCTGGGTTCAAGACCGTGTGGTACCCTATCTTACGAACAATTAACTATATTTAGTGAACTTAGTTTTTGTGTCTATTCAACCGTGCCTTGCAGTTATACGAGAGAAGGAAAAATATATAAAATATATAGAGTTAATTTCTCTTTAAAATTCTCTTTAAAATGAATTGATGTATCTTGGAGATTAACACATTGAAAACTTCAATAAGAACGCATTGAAAATTCAATACTATTAGTGTTTCAACCCAAATTATTCTAAACCTAATTTATTTTACATATTTATTATTGTTAAGGGTTGATTTTAAATAATATCTATCTAATCTGTGTATTCTGTTATCTTTCTTAATAGATGATTTATCATTAACTTTGGTTTAAGGATACATATTTCTAGCACATTTTTAAATTTTTTTTTAGTAATTAATAATATCAAAATTTATAAAATTACATATTTCTGATGTTACAAGAAACATACAGTGTAAATGATTTGAAAATATATCTGAGATTGAAGATGATCCTATCCTAGGGGAGATTTACTAGATCGAAAAATTTGATTATAAATTTGTAAGAATTTAGAAAGTGAACAAGATTTTATTTATTTTAAAATAATAGTTGTATTTAATATTTAAATTATAAACAGATGCATTGATAGTAAAAAAAACAAAAAACAAAATGAACTGTGAATCCAAAATTTCAAACAAACCACAGAGACTAAAATAAAAAAATTTAATTTTTAATTACTAAAATAAAAATTCCTTATTTTTTCAAATATGCATTACATAATTTTTTGTTTTCAATAACTAAAACTCCTTTTGTATGGGTAATTATTTGTATATGAACTTTTAATAATTACAGCATATAAATTATAAATAATAAGCTTATCCCTTTACAAAAACAATATAAAATAATTTTGGATTATTGAAAAAATTCCAATTGACTAAATCATTTGTATACTTACTTTTTTCCTTATAGATTGTTATTTTTATATTACTCCAAAAATTAAATATGTTTTTAGCTTTGGAATCTAGTGTTTTTATTTTTCATTTTCATCTACCAAAACTTTTTTTTTTCTTTTTCTCCCTTATAATATTTTTTTTTATTCTTACATAATGAGTAAAATTTGATTTTAATCCATCTAAACTATTTTTTGTATATTTCAATTTTAAAAATCATTTTTGAAACCCTATCATTCATTGTAAAATAGTTACATAAAATTTATTTTATGAATTTTAATTTATCTTTTAGAGACATTAAATTTGATACTATATAAAAATATTAATGGATCTTACTTGCAATTGTCATTTATTCAACAATGAGTTAAAAATCAATGACTCGATTTATTCAAATAATAGAATAATGATATTTTTATTTTCAAAATATAGTTATTATTTTATAAAATAGATTAAATCATAAATTTATTTAAACATGTTAAATAATAAAAAATATATATTTAATTTAAGTTAGTTTTTTTTAATGATCTAAGTAATTTTAATAAAAAAAAAGTATAATGTTGAGAATTTATACTATTATATATAATTATCTATTTTATATATTTTTTCTCTGTGTACATAATTTCTGTATGATTTTATTTTATTATAATATTATTATATTAATTATATTTTTATTGTGAAAAATGATATGTTATTGGATAATTGTTTTCTTAAATAATTTGTAATTATGAAAAAATAATGTGGATATGCACGGGTAAAAACGCATTTAAGTGCGTGTTACTGCGTTGGAAAAAAATATTATTTTCAATTTTAAAGAAAAATAAATAAACAGAGTTTGTGAGATAACAAATTAAAATTAAGTTTTCAACTTTAAATATATTTAAATTAGAAAGAGATTTATTATTCATCACAAGAATAAAATTTTAAAATTTATTTTTTATCATTACCATTATTTTTAGCAATTTAATAGTATAAAATGTTAATTTATTTTAACTATTACATTAAAAAATAATCAAAATTAAAAAAATCTCTAACTTATTAAAATAAGTAGATATTTTTTCTTTAAATTAATCTAACAGAAAAAAAAATTAACTCAATCAAAACTACAATAATTATGGAAAAGAAGGAATCTGTTTGATACAAACCTACCATTTATCTTTGTTACAACTTTCTTAATTGTTAAATAAACTCTTAACATGTCACCTCCAAAATCTTCTGTATTTCATTTCTTTATATTTTAATTTAAGATTAATAGGAAATTTCTCTTAAAAACCAAGCCAATTCAGTTTTGAGGACCAATTTTGCATGAAGAGAACGACGTCGCTTTTGTTGAGAGGAAACGACGTCGTGGAAGCTGCATACGCAGTGAAAAAGATAAAAAGAAGAGAAAAGGGAGTGAAGTTAAATTCTGTTGGTACGGAAATGTAGTGTCGGTGGTTGTTAACCGCAGGTTAAAAACATTCGCAAATGAAAGAAAATAAAGACAACGCAACGCAACAAAAGAAGAATCGAACTGCTTCGTATATAAGCCATTGAAGGCATGTGAGAGAGCCTTGTATTGTATTTCTCTCTTCAACCTCACAAACTAAAAATTTAACATAACGCATAAACCAAAAAAGAGAGAGCAAGAGAGAGAAAACAGACAAAGGGGATTTGGTGGGTGGAGGCTTTTCATCACCAGGGAGAGGCTTCCATGTTCACCACAGCCATGCCAGAGTCCATTGATTCCGTTTCAGTCCACACGGAGAAGATCTACCTCGGGGGAAAGGTCCACCCATTTCATTCTTTCTCTTTTTTACGTTTTCAAGTTTTAATCTTTTTTTGTTTCTTTCCGGGGGCGGATCCAGTTCCAGTTGTTCTCAAATGGGTGTTACAATTTTACTTTATTTTTTCTTGCTGCCGTCCAGAAAATGGCATTGATTATGCGGCATTTTCGGTTATTGGATTCTGCAGTTACCGAAGGAAAGGAGATATGTCCAAATTTTATGCCAATGGCACTTTTTCTTTCTGGGGGCTAATTTTCTTGGGCTAGTGTTTGCTCTTACGATCTTTGTCGGGAAAAAAACGAACTAGAAATTTTCGTTTGTTTATTTTGACTCCTGTGGTTGTGTTCCCTTTGTTTACCCTTATTTACTTTCTTCATGTTCTTTCTTCGAGTTTTATCTTTATCATATCTTCTGAAGATTTGAACGCGGAAATTAATCGCGGATCTGCTGTGCATTCCTTCTGAAGATTTCACGTATTGTTTTACTCTTTCAGTCTCCGTTATGAAGCTATTGATTTTTCTGAATAATTTGATCGTCTTGTTGTTCTCCTCGGTTTTCATTTGGGGATGAAATTTATCCTTATGGTGTTTGATGCGATTTGGGTGATGTAGGAAGTTTTATTTATTTGTTTTCCCTTTTGTTTTTAGTTTTTCAGGATTTTAGGAATACACATAGTAGCTATTGGATGAGTTTCGGTCATTATTTTCCTTTTAAAAACCAAAGATGCTCTCCACTTTTTCACTGTCTCCCTTATTATTATTGTTTCTTGAGCATAATATGATTGGAATCTGGAATGACTTATTCCACTTTTCGGTTAGATAGTGATATTAATGTGTTGTTATTGCTTGCTGGTTTGGGTTGCCCAAAAAAGCTGCAAGGGCACATGGGGAACCATGCTAGGGGCCAAATAGCTTGAAAAAGGTTCACTCATAATTTTTAACATTACTCAATGGAGTGTATACTAAATAAAGGATATCCCTTGCTCTTGGGGAAGGTTCTTTTCGTTCCTAAAAGTTTAAACTTCAGTTTTTGTAGCCTTTTCTCACTCTACAATTCATTTTGCATTGCCGTTTCAGGAGCATCATATTCGAACTGGCTGTGGTTCTGTGTCTGTCATAGTCTATGGGGATCCTGACAAACCAGCTCTGATTACTTATCCAGATTTGGCCCTAAATTGTAAGCACGGCCAATTTATTTTCTTTTATCTACTTCCACTTATTTCAAGATTACCCTTTCTTTTTTACCTTCTGTTCCAGAACTTGTGTGGGTTCTCTTTTAGGTTACATAAATGATTGCATTGTACATTTGTATCTGGAAATATGATTCAATATTTTACTTCTGTGTATTGGGGCAGATATGTCATGTTTCCAAGGATTATTTTTCTGTCCAGAGGCAGCTTCTTTACTGCTTCACAACTTTTGCATATATCATATCAGTCCTCCCGGACATGAGGTTTGTAAGTTCATAAATTTGAACGTGTTCTTTATTGCATTCAGAACTGAATATTATTATTCACATAGATTTTCCTCTGGAACTTCCACAAGAGTTCTTGCAGTTGGGAGCAGCTGCAATTTGTTGCGAGGATCCTGTTCCTTCTGCTGAAGACTTAGCAGATCAAATAATCGAGATCCTCAACTATTTTGGGTAATTAAAATATGATTACAGTGTTGATACTTTATATTTTGGGGGGTGGTTAGCTTTCATTGTTCAAAACTCTTCCCTTTGTACTTCAAAATATAAGTTGAATTGGGAGTTGAAAAACACTCATTTTTTTTTTCTATATTTACTAATGGCATGAACTATTTTCTTGTCTAGGCTTGGTGCAGTGATGTGTATGGGAGTGACAGCTGGTGCTTATATCCTTACTCTTTTTGCTGTATGTACCCCCATTAACTTTGAAAGGAAAAACTGTGCTATATAGTTAGTGCTTTGCAGTCTTATGTTGATCAACTTATTAAGTCAGTTTTTTTAATTTCTTCTGGTATAATTTTACAGATAAAATATAGGGAGCGTGTTCTTGGTTTAATACTAGTATCTCCCTTATGCAAAGCACCTTCTTGGACTGAATGGTTTTATAACAAGGTTTATTTCAAATTCTTGCAGATTTTGTCCGTTTATGAATTCTCTGATATGACAACATATTAATTTGTTATCAAATGTCAATTTTAGGTGATGTCGAATTTGTTATATTTCTACGGTATGTGTGGCTTGCTGAAAGAGTGTTTACTTCAGCGATACTTCAGCAAGGTATTATAATGCAACCACGCAAATCTCTTGGGTCTTCTGTATTCCATCTTTTATCTCAAATTTTGAGTTTTCTTGGTCAATTTTGATAGGAAGTTCGTGGTAACGTTGAAGTTGCAGAATCAGAGATAGTTCAAGCTTGTAGAAAAGTCAGTGCTAACTGCTAAGCTAATTTAGCTAGAATGTGATTGCTCTTCCTTTTCTCACTCTTTCCTTCTTCCTTGTATTCACCTTGCTCTATACATTTGTTCTTTTCCAGCTGCTGGATGAGAGAAATAGAACAAACGTCTTGCGGTTTCTTCAAGCAATTAATCAGTAAAATCTCCTACATATTTGCATCTCCATTTTGCATATTTAGTATGTAAAATGGAAAAACTTATGGGCTAAAACTTTGTTTCATCATACTGCAGGAGGCCTGACATTTCAGATGGATTGAAAAGATTAAAATGCCGAACACTTATTTTTGTTGGAGACAGTTCTCCTTTCCATTCAGAGGCTCTATACATGGCTTCAAAACTTGATAGGAGATATAGTGCCTTGGTTGAGGTATGTGTAAGAGTGTAGACTAAACATGTAGCATGCATGCGTATACATGACAAGAAATTATAGCAAATTATAGATGTATAAACTGTTGGTTGAACATTTGCAAAATTTATGTTTTAATATTTTAATTTTAAAAGCAACTCAGCAGAGTAAAACACTCTATAAAGTGTTAGATCCAACACAAGTTATGTAAATTTTAGTAATACAACTACTGCTACTAGTTAATAACTAAAATTATGTTAGTTGCTTTTTGTTTGTGGTTTGAATGAACGATTCAACAAGTGGATTGAAAAGGGTTTTTGAATTTGCAGGTGCAGGCTTGTGGATCAATGGTTACAGAGGAACAGCCACATGCAATGCTGATACCAATGGAGTACTTTTTAATGGGATATGGGCTTTATAGACCAACCCAGTTCGGTGACAGCCCAAGGAGCCCACTGAGCCCATCTTGCATCTCTCCAGAGCTCCTTTCTCCGGAAAGCATGGGATTGAAGCTGAAGCCTATAAAGACTCGTGTTTCACTTCAAGTTTGAACATAATAATAATAATAATAATAATAAACCTTTCACTTGTGTAATTGGAGGGAGTTTATTCTTAAAATTTTTTCATTGTTAAAAGAGGAGAGGGCTAGACAAAGGTTGTAGATAGAAGAGAAAGGGCATGGACAGAATACTTGAAATACATATAAAAACTATGTTTTTATATATAATTCAAAGGTTGTAGGTAAGAGAAGTTGCCTTGATTCATTTGTAGGCTTGTCTTAAATAAAGGAATCGTTGAGCTGTATCTGTAAATTCCACATGGACTCTTAATTTGTTAAGACACAAGTTTCCCATTCAGAATCTTGCTTTTTCTTTCATCCGTGGCATCCATTTAACCTTTTTCTAAACTTGGCGTGGAAAATTGCATAATAAATACATGAGCATGTGATGCTTTAAAGGAAAGAATGCGTGTTTCATTGGTCGAAAATAAGCTGGCCATTACTAAGCTTCCCTCAAACTTATGATATCAAGTTTATTTCAGAGTGCGCAAGCATTGATTATTAGGTGATATCGAAGTGGTGAGTGTGGTATGGTGCTGTCTTTTGACATTTTCCGATGAAGACAATGATGTTTTACTCACTAATCTTGTCTATGTTCCTAGTTGATAATACGTGGTTTTCAATAATAGTGTTATTCATGGTGAGTCATTGTTTCAATCTCAAACTCTAACGGACTTAAATTCAAAATCTGAAGTGGACAACTTGAAATCAGATATTCGTGTCGTTTGACGTTTTATTTCTGTATTTTATAAATTTTATATTATGTAGAAGTGGAGGTCAAAAATAATATCAAGTTCTAAAATCTTGTATATAAATTTTATCTCACAATATTTATTGATAAATATATTAATAAATAAATCATTAAATCTTAATTTAATATATAAATAATTTAATTATTAATGAATATTAATTCATATAACAACTGAAAAACTATTATCTTATCATTCAATTATTTTAATTTTATGAAAACGGTTGAAATATTTAATCTTGTCCCGATCTTTATTCTTACATTCAACTCTATTCTAGGAATGTCAAGATCGATCAGTCCATTTGTTTTTTTTTTTTTTGTTCACTTTTAGTATGTCAAAAATGAAGTGGGTGATTAATTGATTATGTTAAGGTTCCAATATAAAATCAATTGTGGAGTAGGCAAAGGGTATTTTTAACCCAACTAAAAGACAATTTTTGACCCATAACAATAACCTGAAATATGTTAGGCTTTGGCTCTGATACCATGTTAAGGTTCCAATATAAAACCAATTAGCGATATGTGGAGTAGCTCAACATGTATTTAAACCATACCAAATAATATGAGGTAGGCGATGTGAGACTTTCAACACATTATATAATAAAGACGTGTTATAAATTTTAACTTGTTTTGTAAAAAACGGGTTGATGGATCAGCAGAAACTCTCAATAATTTTTATATATATTTTTTAAAAATATATATATATATATACTTAATTATATAAATAATTATTAAGTTTTTATTTTTTAACTAATACTTTTATAAGATAAATTAAAAAAATTATATTTATGTATTAAAATAATTAATTATAATTAATAATTTTAAATTTAATTAATTAATTTTTATAATTTAAATTATAATATTATAGTGTATTTATATATTTTAATAATAAAAAATATATAATTTTTAATTATAATTTTTTAATTTTAATTTTAATATATAAATATTTTTTTAAACAGTAAACTAGTCTCTTTTTCTATTCTTGAGTCGAATACTAAAATAGATTAACAAACTAAAATTACCGACGAACTGGTAAAATGGATTATAATAGATAATCCATTTTGTCACTTTTTTTATTACCTTATTTATCCTTTCTTTTTCTTCTTCTGCGCTTACTTTGGTTTTAATTTGAATAATAATTGGCCGTAAGAAAAATACCAATTTGTTTATTTAGTGACTAACTTAACATATGACTAAAAGAAATTGATTCACTTTTATAACATTAAAGATTAAATTTAACTTAAAAAAAAAGAATCTAACTTAATACATTTGGAAAATAAAGTATTAAAAAGTATATTTAAATTAATAAAATATAACTATATTTTTAAGTACAAAAAATATCCAAGAATAAATTAAACCATTTTTTAAACTATTTAACCTGTAGATCATGCGAACTTACATCAGGTAACATGATGAACTAATGGGTCCACCTATTTCCTAAAATAATAATTATATGTTAAGAAAATAAAAGTATAGTATAACTTAGATATTAAACAATTAAATTTAACAATTGGCATTAGTTATATTAGTAAGTTTAAAATGGTTTTTATTTAATTTTTATAATCATTTAAAATATATAAAAATGACCCATTGATTCAACCTAAAACTAACCGAACATAAAAATTATAGAGTGAAGATGATTGTGTGGAGTGTGAGGACAATGATAGATCAAGCAAGTGGCAAAGAGTGTCCCAAGTCTCCATTTTGTCAACACCAGATTCACGCAATGAAGGTGAAGTGTTAATAGTTAGGTACTGATCATTCCTTTTACTAAATAGGCAAATGTGATGTCTTGGTAATTACCTCCACAAGAGTAAGAGATGAATCTACTCCAATTAGAATCTATAATTTTAGTTGCTTCAAATAAAGAGCTGAGTACTGATTGTCATGTTTGCTTAAGTTCTTTTTAGTAAAAATAAAAAATGCCTATGAACCAAAAGACCCCAATTATATTATTTTTATTCATTGATAGTCAAAATGGTTTGGCATAAAGCCTAATATTTTTCAGATATGAATTAACTTAAGTTTTGAAAGAGTTCAATTTTTTAGAAGACCTATTACAATCAGTGTGAACAAGCAATGCTTAGTTGTGTCTTTTAGGTAGTGATCAGTCCTTTTACGGGAGTCAAATGTGATGCTCAGGTGAATATCTCTAAAAAAGTTAGAGATGAATCTACTTAATAATCTATAGTTTTAGTAGTTTAAATAGAGAGCAGAGTCCTAATTTTCATGTTTATTTGCGTTCATACTGGTAAAAATAAAAATTGTATATGAACCAAATATCTCAATTGTATTACTTTAATTATTGATAAACGGTTTGGCATACAAGCATTATGTGGTTCAGAAATGAATTAACTATTAAAGATTTCAAATTCTTTAACGACTTATTACAATCAGTGTGAACAAGCACTGCTTAAGATTGCGGTCTTAAGAGGCATAAAGGTGCACGTCACATAATACTCCACCATAGATATATTGTAATTATACAATTGTCTGCTGATCGACTTCTTCTTCAAATTCAATATAACTTTAAGTGTTTTCCAAATTTCTTTTTGGCAATTGACATCTTTCCTTTTATCAGCACCAACAAGTATTTATTCATTTTTTAAAATACAGAAGGTAATGGATGATCAATGTTTGATTGATAGGTTGAGTAGGAACGAAGCTCATGATTTGACTCTCGGAACCTGCACCTGTACAACATCTCAACATTTGTCAAAGAAAACGTAACATTTAGTCACGAGACGGGTAGAAAGGGAGTTACATTCTAATATTCATTAAAAAAAATAGAGATGACACAGACATGTTCACATTGAGGACGATTGAAATCAAAGTCAGATTTGCAATCCATTTGAAGCATGAGTAGAGATGTTCTTAGCTGGCCATGGTGCCCCTGCCATCACCCCTTCAATCTCGCCTATTTCCCTGGGACACTTGGTCATATTGTAGCAACCAGCCGCAGTAACAAGCTGAGTACATCATAAAGGAATAAACAAAGTAATTATTTAATAGGTTCATCCACCAGAACGGCAATGCCTTATAATGATATCAGAACTGTCTGGATGAACTTCTTTTAGGAGGAATTTTTTTTTTCCTTTAGTTAACTTATGTCTAGGCTAAAAATAAAATCTAGAAAAATTATATGAAAGAACTTCTATAAATTAACTTAATTATAAACTAATTTTGAAAACTAATCTCAAATTTGCTTTTCTAAAACTTAAAAAAAAAAAAAAAAAAAACCCGTCCAATGTGTTTGATCACATCAAATGAAGACATCAATGAAAGTTAACTCATGAACAATTAAAACACAAATGTCATATCACTTTCGAAGCACCTTTACTCAAGAGAAAGACTCTGTCTATATATGACAACTGTTATATAGAGGGAAAAGAAAATGAGGAATGAGAATAATAACTTTTTTTTTTTAGTTCACTGGTTTACATTTAATTACAAATGCCCCGTGACCTTCTATTAAGGAATAAGAAAATCACGTGAAATTTTTTTATTTAGTATGCAATTTAATCTAATTTTTTTAGAAGGAGTACCATTAAACATGTTACACCTTTAGAAGTATTTTATCATATCGAATGTTGTATATGGCTAACATACTCCTAAAACACAAGGTAGGAGAAAGTTAGCAGCCCCCTCACGACATATAGTATTTAATATGTATGATGGGGAAAGTATTACTAGGTTGAGAAATGATAAACTATAAACTAAAATATCGTATAGAAATGATAAACTAAAAACTAGGTTATCCATAACAGGGTTCAGTAATAAAGGGAGGAATACCACATCACTCTCAATTCGAACTCCACCAAAATCTTTATATCTATTAATAACTTCCTGGTTTAAGAACTTGGACGTTTCTGGACTATTCATGGCAGGAAGTAATAAAGCGTCAATAAAGTAGCATCCAGGCTCCACAGTGATAACCTACAAGTGTATAGATGATAGGTATCATGGGATCAGAGATAAGAAATGAGGAAAATCCGTACCGTATAAAGTGTAAAAAAATAAAAGACTTGGACCAACTGAAACAACAATGTTGACAAGCATTAAAATGAAAGGAAAGCAAACATGAGCAGTTTGGGAGTGTTCGCTCCCTCCCAGAACAAGAGTCCAATTCAATTCACAGTAGTCTTCCTCTATTACACTTTCCCCCAAACTGCCTCATCACATGTGTCACCCCACACACAGCTAACTAACCAGTTAGAAGCATATTCTCCTCCCTCCATAGACTAGGTTCATCACACATATTCTCCCTTTTTCTATACACACGCTTAATCTCAGCTTTCTATTTTCGGCCGTATCAATTAACAAGGTTACCTCATCATCAAATTCGTATTTGTACTTCATAAAATAGAGCATTAACTGATAGAGATCAAAGGGCAAGACCCCAAACTCAACTGAAGCAAGCAGGGTTCACAAATTGCAATAATCATTATTTTGATTTCAGCTTCACATGTAACAACAAAAAACCATCATTCCGATGAAGACTTTGTAAAACAACAATTAGTCCATGAGATTGTAAGCACCAATCACTTTAGTCTACGACTTAGCAAAAGCCCCACTTCAGCTCCTAACTTATGGTCTGTTTTGAATGAGCTTTTCCATTAGGAATTATAGGAGAAAAACAAAGAAAAAATGAAATTGACTTCCTCACAAGTTAAAATTAGTTTATACATAAGCTAATTTGTACAAACTATCTCATGTAGCTTCTCCCGATTTTTATCTTTAACTAATGGAGAAAACAGTTTTTTTTTTTTTTTCATATTTTCCTTTCCTAATAGTCTTTATGGAGAAACTTGTCTGAAGAGACCCATAAAAAAACTATTTACTGTAGTATGTAAAGACAACTAGATGGTTCAATACCATAAAATTTTAACTCTCATCATCAAAGATCGGGTTACTATTATTTAACTAGTATAGCCAAAGCAAAACATCAACTACTATTATGCTTCTTATCAGTTACCACTTGCTACTTAAAAAGGTTTTTGAATACTGAAAAAAGCCATGACTGAACTGACCATTCCTTCTTGGAGATCTCTGATTGTCCGCAACGATTTTAATCCAGGTTCCTTTCTTCTTTCCAGGCCCTGCAAATAAGAACAATGTTCGTAAAACATTATATGAAAATGATGTCCATACAAGATTAACTACACGGGTCATTAATTAAAGAAGGGGAAGGGGAAGGGGAAGGGGGAAGTTTAAAATGTAACTGCAGATGAAATTTACAAAATACCTTTAAATAGCCTCCAGGGTCATGTGTGTCAATACCAAGGAAATGCCCCAGACCATGTGGCATAAAAACTGCACCTAAGCGTGCAGCCATCATGTCCTCAACATCACTATACCAAAATTCACAAATATGCAACTTCATAAAAGATCCTAGAGATTGTATCAAGATGAAAGTTAGCCATCAGCAATAGAAAAACACAATATGTTACCCCGAAAGAATGTTTCCCCTCTTCAGTGACTCAAGAATAACTTTTTCTGCTAATCTGCAATTTTAAAAAAGGAGATGAGCATAAAAAAGGTAAAATAACATGTGACAGAAGTGTCTATTAGTAGTTTGAATTTTCCTTTTTTCTTTTACAAAAATTAGATGGCTCAGGAATAGTTGGTCTACTCATTTAGACTTCATATTATCTCTGCATAACTCCTATGTCACTTTCACCATAATTGTTTTCAAGAGCAACATACAGTATCACAAAACACACTTGTTCCTCTATAGAAAAATAACTATGTATCGGTATCGTTAGCTTCATAATGATGATGACTATCAGACTATATTTCTCCTAGGTTCTCCATTCAAGACAATGACTGTAATTTCTCAATAAGGCTGCACACAGCAAAATAAACACTACACGTGTGATTGCATGTGCACAAATTACCTATGATCCAATTCTGTTATATACTTATATTCCCATCCACCTACTTAGTTAAATAGTCAATAAACTTTCTATCAAGGGAAGCACTAATATCAACCCAGCTAGTAGCACTTGAAAGAAGAAACTAAGCATGGCAGATATTTTAGTTGCTAAAAAGAGTGATACTTGTAATCGATCATACGTGTGCATATCAACCCAGTTCACTCCAGGTTTCATTGAAGATATAACAGCATTATGAGCATCTAGCACAGCCTGCAGAACATGAAAAACAAGAATAATAAATGTTGAAGGAAATGCTATAAAAATCAAGCCATTGAGGTATATGAAAGTTGAAATGTACATTACAGAGCCATACTGACTTTCACATGAATGTCTAAAATTAGGTGAGCCCTTACAGAAAACTAATATATGTGTTAGTTCGAGATTTGCACTGCAAATGCTTGTACAGGTGCAGTTTGCATATTAAGTAAAAAAAACATCCCATGTTTTCCCTTTAACAAAGAAGGTTTTGTGAGAGAGCACTTACATTATATATAAGAGATTGATCGCTTGTAAACTTTCCATTTATCTGCACCACAAATTTAAAGTTGATTATAAAATGATTATTCTATTTAGTAGATGCTAAGATAGCCTGTAACCAAGCTTTTTTGGCTTTTCTCCTCAAAAGCAGAGACTCCTACAGCTAGCTTTCATAGAGCTATATATTTTTCCTTTTTCTTCATTAAAAAAAGCCTACTTTTATTTTCTAGAGCTTATTTAAAACTGTATTTGGCATGCCTTCCTCTTTTAAGAAGAAAATCCTAAAAATTAGATCAAACACTAACTGAATACTATTACCTGTTTATGCACACAAAAATAGTATGGGTCAGCATAGAGACAATAATAAAGCAATATAATAAATAAATACAGGAACAGGCAAAGAAACCAAGCGTGGTGCAATTGAGCAGAGGCATGCCTGATGACTCAGTGACATTATTAAAAGTGGCAATGCAAGTAAGAGGGAAACTAAGTAAATACTACCAAAAGTAATTATTAATGGAAAGACTCACAGGGAAAGAACAGGTTATGTCAGAACCATAGAAATGGTACTCCGCTCCCATATCAAACAGTGCCATGTCTCCATCTTCCAATGTCTACACAAGAGTCATGCTTTAAAATACTTGGACATCTGTAAAAACTAAATAACAATTGATAATCCAATTCAGACTGTAACTTTATCTCATTTTATTTCTTAAGGAATGAAGTTTTCAATATTTAATATGACAATTAGCCAAATCCGAAGTCACCACATACCAAAGGTCCAGAGTTAAATTTTTCCTGTTTTCAAAAAGTTTCTCATCACATTTTTACTTTTTTTTTTTTTTTGTATTCGCATTTTAACATATTCCTGAACCGATTATTTTTCAGACTAACTAAGCATGGTGCTGATTAATTTCAAGTTTCAACGTAGGAAATAATACATAGATTACACAGCTAACACAGGAATTATGCCCAGTTCAATTTCCCAGCGGCAGACTGGCACTGAAGAACTTAGGAAAGTCATATAACCCATGTATAAAGATTATTGAATCCAGTAACATAATGATAGCCAATCACAGACATTAGCTGTAATCATAGTTACTTTAAAAGGAACGGAAGCGGGGGAAGGGAGGTACTTTTATGCCATACCTTGTCATTAGGAGCTGCTGCATGGCCATAATGAAGAACAGCACTGCATTAATACACATATCTTAGCCACCCCACCCATTTTATGATAAAGGTAGCTACTATTTAAAACATATTAAGCATAATACCTCTCCCTTAAAATAAGACTCTTTTATCTAATTCACACCCTCTGAGAAAATTAGTCAATTTAGTTAAGAACATTAAATTTGTCAATATTTACACCAACCAAATCACCTTCTCCCACTTAATTAATTTTCACCTAATTACTTAATTTTTCGAAAGAAAATGACAACATAGTGATCTTTTGTCCAATTATCTTCACCAACACATGTAAAAAAGAGAGACTTCATAATATTTATTTGTGGATTCAAGAATTGCAACTTAAGGGCATTCGAGAAGAAGAAAAAAATAATACTAGGGACAGTAAAAATGTAGTATTAAAGAAAGGGACAATTTCTTTAAGAAAAAAAAGTCTTTGTCTTTCATTTAGGGATGAAAGTAGTATTTTTTCTATATTAGCAAATCCATTTTAATTACAAAGGAGCACCAAGTAAAGTTTTGTTAAGCCAAAAGTATCTGAGAACCGCATATAGTTGCAATATCAGAATTCAAAAAGGTATACCTATTTTCACCAGTAGCACAAATACATGTATAGGAGCAATGCCGACATCCACCATACATATAGGTATGATGAAGAAAAATACTTTCAAGCTGATACTCCTTCATGCCTACCTTAGTTCTTCTCATAACCTGTTTCACATGGCAAATATTATGAAACCATTTTCACATAACATATGTATGAAGTCATTCGTACTTCATTATTGACATTATAGATCCTTCTTCTAATCAATAATGTAACCACGTAAAGCCCACCCTAAGATATTCCTAATTCAACAAAATAAATGGCAAAAGTTTCGGTAAAAAAAAAGGGTAGATAACTAGGTAAAGGATAGTAGTACATCTTTTGTTTGCTCAGTTCTATAGTTAGGCTATTTTCCTTAGTCAGTTAGTCTTAAGAAAAACTCACTACAGGAAAGCTAAAAGATACCTCCCAATAACCCGAATCACTTTTTTTTTTTTTACAACTACAGCAAATAGCCTCAAACGCAGAAGATACTAAACATTAAACTGTCACAATTACAATACTTGAAGCCTATTTCCTCCTATACATTTCCTACAAGCCTCAAAGTACACTTAGCATAATGTTAAAATATGTACCTAATAGACAAGTATAACTTCGGCAGTTTAAGATTAGTTACCTCAACATGAGCTTCCGAGCTTATATCATTGGCATACTGAATAAGAGCAATTTCCAGCTCTGACTTGATGACACGGCATTCAGTCAATATAGGATGCAAAGTCGTCAAATCCTTATCAAACTTATCAATGCCCTAAAAAAAAGTTAAAAATATAAAATACAAGTAGTTCCAAGAATCAGTTTTCTAAGAAAGACATGCGATTTAGTATAAGTACTGTCATATCATCACAAAAAACAGAATAGTATTGGTACAGAACAGATCTTATGCAATGACAATTTGTGGGTCATAAATAATATGTACCCAACAAATCACTCACTGTCCTGATCAAAACATTAATAAATGCTCACAGCAGGGAAGAAAAGATTTGAGAACCTGAAAGTCTGCTGGTTTAGAGAAATTATCGCTATCCGTATTAAGGCCATGCAAGAGAAACAGTAAAGGTTTCCCCGCACCCTGGTAATATTGTTGTAAAACACTTGAAATTTCATCTGAAAAGTAAGTTGTGCTAACCATATAGTGTTCCTGCAAAGTAGGATGCATAGATATGAACCACTGAACAATAACACACCCCGGCAGGCACATCCATTTAACATTTATCGTTGGACGAGTCACCTTAAAATCGGAGAGTTTCTTTATCTTCCCCAACCAAACAGCATACTCAGAAGGTAACCTTGGAGCAAATAGGAGAGAGTCCCCAGTTGCAATATCCTTCAAAAACCAAGAATTGCACAAAACAGAACTATTAATTTCTACAACTCAACGTGATCATGTCTGTATTGTCAGATTTTAAATAAAAATTAATTTGACAATAAGTGAAGGACCCAATATATATATAAGTCGTAGCATGAGAATTGAGACTCTTTTCAAAATCCTCCTCGACTAAGGAGAAGTGAGATAAGTGATGTGAGTCTTTCTCCAACATTCCTCTTTGACTAGGGAAATGTCTACTATAATAGGTGAGATTAAGAAGACTCTGATATCATGTCAGATTTCAACTTAAAAACAATTGGTGATAAGTGAAGAGTGTAGAAGATATATAAGTCATACCATGAAAATTGGTTTTAAATTGAAATTTCACATGTTAAATGCATTATAAAAAAAATAAGGAGTTAAAGAGTTAAGCAGTAAAGATTTATACACTGTCAACTAATTAGATATCACCTTAAATGCAACTTCTAAAATAATGATTACTGAAGGCAAAAATCGTGCCACACATGTTAATTCATAACTAGCTTTAAATTTTCCGATCATTTAAATGAAATCAAAATTAAAAAACACAAAATAAAATTGTAACGGAAAAGAAAATAACTTACAATAGCTCCATAGAATCCAGGCTCTGTCACTCCAAATAAGTAAGCGAAGTAACTCTCCTGCCTGCGAATAGCGAAGCAAACGGGTTAGGAATCGATACGCAATCATTGTAACAGTGATGATTCAAAAAGTGAACCGGCGAGGTGTATTTAGCGTTAGGGTACCTGAAGAGCTCTAAGTGATCGGTGTCGTAACGCGTTTGCTCTTCGCCACCCTGCGCGAACGCAATTGGATAAAGATTGTTAAGAAAAATTAGAAAGGGAAGGAAGATGAATGCAGAGAGAGAGACCTGAAGAAGGACGAAGCCGTGGAGAGGACGAGAAGAGTCAGAGAGGTGTTGACGAAGAGATGATAGAAGCTTGTCTCGGTTTTTGACGTGGAGCTCCATCGACACCTTCGGAGGCCATGGAGACGAACCCATGCCGATCCCTGATGCGGCACACTACAATACAACGCTAATTAACTATTTAAATTAAAATACATCCATAAGGATAGTTACTATCTGCACCTCCTTTTAATCTTTATACATCTCTTTTTTTTTAAAAAAAAAAAAAACTAAACTGGACCTTCCTTCTCTCATCTTCACCATTATTATTTTTTCATTATATATCTTAACATAATAGAAATAGTAAATTATGTTAACCATTTTTAAATTTCGTCAATTTATCAATTTTTCCCTGTTCTCTAAGGAAAAAATCATGTTATAGTATGAAACTTATTAATTGAAATCATAGAATTTAATGTAATTTATTCTAACAACAAATAGTTTCTATTGAGAATATTTTAGAAAAACATTAAAATATGGAAAACAGTATGAAGGGAAAAAGGAAATGCTACGAGTAACAACCACCAAATAAACTATCAATGGCCCAAATCGAAGTAATCCCCAAGTCCTTCATTCGTGAAGTTGTTAGGTGAATTGAAATATGTTTGAACGAGTTTTTCATAAGTTCTGTTATGATAAAAATAAATAAATACATTAATTTTTTCTGTGAATTAAAATTAATTTATGTATAAATTAATATAAAAATTATATGAGAAAACTTTTATATATTATCTCATCACCATTGTTGTGACTATGCACTTTTGATATAATGTTTTTAAAGTTTCCAAAATCTCACTCTTAATGCATAATGGTGTTGCATACTCAAGAAAATAGCAGGTTTATTGACCAAGAAAAGAGACACATAATCCTATATTGTGCTCTAGTCATCAAAGAGATTCTCGGATATTAAGACATATTTATGAAAAATTACATATAATTCCACACACACAATAAGATAATCGCCAAGAATATTGTTTCAAAATGCACCTTTTTGTTCTTGAAACATTTTCCCTTTTGTTTCATTCTCCATTATTGATCATAACAAAAGTATATGAATCACGATTATATGTACCTAGCAGTTTTCATATTTCATAATATACAATTTTTTTCTTAACTCATTCAATATCTCATATCAATTTGTTGTAAAATTTACTTAATTGTTTATGATATAGAGATTTATGTAATGTAAACTTAAAAAAAAAATCCATATTAAAAAATCTTACAAATATGATAAGATTATAATATATAATAAATATAATCATTCACTAGCCAAATTAATTTTTTTCTTTGTTTTAAAATATTTGTTGGAGTACTTTTCAACTTGTTAATATTTTTTTCACATTTTAACGACATAGAAATTAGATGAACAAAATACATATTTTTTGAATATTTTAATTAAAAATAATGGAAAGGGTAAATAAAAATAATAAAAGAAATACTTATTTTTTATTTCCTGGTAAAAAACAAATATAATTTTTATCACAACAAATATAAATAAAAATAGTAATATGTAAAAAATAAAATCAAGCTAAATATATTTAATCCATAAAATGAACCGAAGTAAAAAAAAATAAATTAAATTATTTAAGAATAAAAATATAAAATTCAATTACTTTTAATATATATTTAGATTACAATATATATTTTAATATATATATATATAATATTAATTTATTTTTTAATGAAAAAATCATCCGTATCTAAAAAAAAGTAACATAAACATATAAGATATCATATTATCGACGAATAATTATTAACGATTAATAATTCATCAAAATAAGTAATTATCAATAATAATTTGTAGAAAAATTATCGTGTTAAAGAAGAATTTTTTTCTAATCCCTTGAATTCCTTCGTACCCCTTCAATTTCTGCAATCCTTCGAATTCCCTCAATCTCTCCATTTTCTCCAATTCCTAAATCTTTTGTCTGTATTCAAACCTTAATTATTTGAATTCCTAAATTTGTTATTCCTGTTCAAACCTTAAATCCTCAACCTTTTTAATTTAACCTTCAAAAAGGTCATGTGAATGTTAGTTACAGGTAACTATAATCAGATGGTGTAGAAATTACACGATTTTGAGGTAAGTTGATACTGATTTTTTAGCTTTATCCATGCATAAATTGGGTTAAAGAGAACAATGTTTTTGGTTTAGAATTTAAATGAGTTAGGATTTTACATATGTAATATTTTTTGTGACTTCAAATATTTATGTTTATTATGTTTGTTGGTGGCATAAAATAAGGTAATTTTTTTTAGAGTTTAAGAATTTGTATGTATTCGAATATTAGGGTTTGATAATTAATTGAATATTTTGTCTAGATGTTTGTGTGTGTTTGATTATATGGATTGTTGTGCGTGTTAATAGTTGATTTTAGTGTGTGTTGATAGTTGATCTCTAGTGCATGTTTATGATTGGTCTTTAATGTGTATTTAATTTCATTCTAACATGTTTTTAGTTACTTATATATTTTGTATTGGATTAAGAAGTTTGTTGTTGTTGTTGTGTGAAGTTTCATCTTTTCTATTTTGTTGCATTTTATATCCTTGTTCTTATTCTTTTATATATATATCATCTCATGGTATTTGTTGTTGTATTTTTTTATGGATTATAATGGTTCAACAATTAATTTTTTCATGTATTCACTTTAGTTGTTGTTTTGTCAAGTAATTAGAGAGTTTTTTTGTCATTTTTAAAAGAATAGTAGGCTAAAAATAGTTTCATTAAGATTATATAACATTAAGACTAAATTTATTTGAAGTTGTAAAAGAAATACAATAGTTAGTGCAAAATTTGAAGGGCAGGAATGATTGAATAAATATGTAACTGTTAGTGGAAAATCGTTAAAAGAATCGAAAAACGAAGGAAAGAAAAATCGAAGATCATATGATTGGTTAAAAACTGATGAAGTGAAAAGATAGTTGGAAAACATTCGATGACCATGTAACAATATGAACACATAAATCGAGAATTAGAACCGAAAATCGAAGGAGGAATATTTAATGTTGAAGAAAATCGAGAAATTAGAGTCAAAAGTAATGTTAAGAAACAAAGTGAAAACAAAAACAATTCAAAATTCTCGAGATTTGGAATCGAAATCGAGGGAAAGGCTAACCTACATGACTATCGGAATTTTGGTTAAGTTATAAAGAGAGGAACAGTTGACGTGCACATAGAACATGGTAAGCGGTGCAGAAGTCGAAGGTCAAGGGAGCAGTCACCTCATGCATGAGAACGTGAATGCAGTTTTTTAACCGTAGAGCTAGAAGTAAAACTGCAAAAGACGTGCACGCAGGACGTGGTAACAGTTTTCATTAACTGCTCCTAAGAGATTACTTGAAGCACTACTAGAAAATATGCTTTCAACGTCGCTGTTTAACGTCGGTTACATTGTAGTCGACGTTGAATATGCTTTCAACGTCGGTTGTCCAACAACCGACGTTGAAAGTCGAATTTTGGCACATTCTACGTCGTTTTAGCATGCCCGACGTGGAAAGTAGGCTTTCAACGTCGGTTATGCCCTCACCCGACGTTGAAAACCCAACCCTTATGCATGGGCTTTCAACGTCGGGTGTGGGTATAACCGACGTTGAAACCCACAAAAACTCACACACTTTAGATAGCGGTTATATGGGAACCGCTATCTAAAGTGCACTTTAGATAGCGGTTCTAAGGGAACCGCTATCTAAAGTGCACTTATGATCGTTCATTTCAAGTTATGATCGATCAGAATCTTATTTCGCTCGAGCGAGAGTAGTGTCGCTCAAGCGAAATACAACCCGAGAATGCTAATTTTGTGCAGGGGGCGTTTCGCTCGAGCGAGAACGGTGTCGCTCAAGCGAGATACACTTTAGATAGCGGTTATAAGGGAACCGCTATTATATCCTCTCAATTATGATCGATCATTGCGAGTTATGATCGATCAGAATCTTATTTCGCTCGAGCGAGGGTAGAATCGCTCAAGCGAAATACAACCCGAGAATGCTAATTTTGTGCAGGGGGCGTTTCGCTCGAGCGAGAAGGGTATCGCTCAAGCGAGATACATTTTAGATAGCGTTTCAATCGATTAAATCTCGTTTCAATCGATTAAAACAATTTCTGCACAGCGTTTTAATCGATTAAAGCTTATTTTTATCAGTTAAAATTAGTTGAAAAGTTTTACGAGAAAGTTTTGCAGTATTTCAATCGATTGAATCGCGAAACAATCGATTAAATCAACTTAGAAGATTTTTTGTTAAGTGTTTTAATTGATATAAACGTTGCGAGTATCGGTTAAAACAAATCTGTTAAAGAATCAAGAACATATTAATGGATTAAAAGAAGTTTTAACAGATTAAAGCTGCACTTTTAACAGATTAAAAGAATCTTTTAACAGATTAATTAAACCAGCGAGTTTTGAAAATCTTCTATAAAAACAGTTTGGCTTGAACTTTGGGGTTCGATGTCGCCGAGTTGGGGTTCGGCCTCGAGTTCGTCGAGGTAAGGCTGGGGTTGAGATTCGAAGTTGCTTGGGTTTTGATTGGGTGTTTTGGTCACTCGGATTTGAGATTCAAGGTCACTTGGGTTGGATTTCAAGCTTGAGGTCGGGTCATGCATCGTTGGGTTAAAGATCTTCGAAGTTGAATAGAAGGGTGGAGGATTGGGGTTGGAGAGACGAAGGTGATTAAGCTCGAACAATGGTGGATAGTCAACTGGTACAAGGTCACAAAGAGGGAGTGAAATTGTGAGCGAGAAGGTGAATTTGGGAGGGTCTGTCGGCATGAAGAACACAAAATTTTGGAGGATTATCGGTGCGAAGAAGATGAAAGTACTTGGGTTTATTTGTATATATTTACACGGATATATATTTATTTGTATATAAATATAATTTATTTGTAAGTTATTATCAAAAAATTCAAGCGGTTTAGTGGTTGGAGTATCGGCCTCCAACTCTAAAGTACTAGGTTCGAATCACGCCAATGACAATTCTCTTAAAAATTAAAAAACTTCTAAAAATATAATATAAAGAGATGGAGGACCAAATAAAAATATAATAGGAAGAGAGGGAGACTTCTAGATAATAAAGGGGGTAAAGGGGTTGTAAATAAATAAAAAT